ATTAGTGCCTCTGGGTTAGGACGGGAAGATGCAAAGCAAGAAAATAACCAGAACACTCACCATTAATGAAGTACGGTTTCTCCCAAAAGGTCACCCAATGCACCTTGCATATTCTTGTCCTTTCCACTTACCTTTTTCTCAGTTTCTCCTCCTTCCCTCTCTCTCTTTGGGCTCAATTCCAGATGTTTTAAGGCTCCTCTGCTCTACCCATGTCAGTAGAAAAGAAATGCCACACAGTCACCTGCACTGCTTTGGGAAATTCCCACCCTATAAGGCACAAACCCAACTTTGTACCATCACTGAAGAGCCAGTGGACATGGGGTATGAAGGACCAGTAACTAGGAGTCTGGCCAGAGTGATTTTGTATTCAATTATATTAAAATACCTGTGGTTATTTTACTGCAAGTTAAAGAAAGACAAATTTTCTCTTACCTGGCTTCAGACTACAGGACACAAACTCAACTCAATCCTTTCAGTGACAGATGCTGTTTTCCATATACGCTCTCTGGACAGGACACCAGGCTCTCCATTAATTTTGGCACAGAGTTTCCCTACAGATAGATGTCCCTATACTTACATGCCAGCTTAGCAGATATTATTTAAGAGCTCATCAACTCCAATTTGGAACCATGTAACAACTGTACTCATCTTAAAACATAGCATTAAGTAGATTAAACGAAGCAAGCAAAGGCCCTAGAATGATTTTACCATTGAGAACTAAGTAGGTCCTTTTTTATTCCCATCACGACAGCTGGATTTATAAAGCCAGTATTTAATTGGCACAGACATTACCAAACTGACTGCTGCCACTGGAAAAGGTTTATTCCTGGGCCTGAATTCCCACAAATACTGATAATTCTACAAGCCACCCTTTCTGGATGGCACTCAAATACATTCACACTCTGTGCACATGAAGCCTGTGTTACACACACCATCTAGTGGCAAGACCGCAAATGTGATGGTGGGAATTAAAATCTCACCCACGAGACAGAACCAAAGAGAAATCATTGCTGAAATCTGGACTGGACTCATCACTCTGTTGGGGACTTACAGCTGCTTCAAGACAGCAAACTTTAGAACTACAAGCAAGCCGAATGCTCTGGGGCATGTGGTATTCACGGAAACACTGAACTAGATCCTTTATTTCAAAGCAAAACAGCGCCAACATACTGAATGCGAGTTCTGAAGACATGCAGGCGTGCCAGCGAGATGTCTTGTGTGCTTCAGTGCTTTATACAGCAACTGCGCTCATGTGTTATGTTTCCTGCTACTAGTGATGGGAACATCATATAAGAGTCTGCACTGTTACGCATACACTCCGATACAGAAGAACCCCCCTGAAAGAATGTGATATTAAAATAAACTAAGGACAAGAGTTAGGCTGATCTTATGCCTGAAAAGAAAGATGCAAGAAATCTTCACTCTGCTCCCCTTCCATGGTAAATGAATGGAATCTTTGAATCCCTTCTCGCTGCCAGACCCCAAGACTACTTTGGGCTTTCTGGGGTGGGGAAGGGAGAGGAAGGAAAGAGTGGGGTCTACAGGATGCAGACAAAACCTGTGGACTGCACAACTGACCTTACTGACTGACTTGGGAAGGGCAGAAGACAGCCAGATATGAAGACACGGGGTTGAGATCTGAGTAGGTTTGGGTACGGGTTTTCCACAAACTCTGGAGGCATTACTAATCAGGTCTTCACTTTGCAATCCAAACCCAATTGATTCAAGCAGCTTTCTGCTCTGCAGATCTAGAAAGTAACAGAAAGTACAGGAAGGTCTTTCTGGGATTATCAAGTTTCTTACATCCTTCCATTTTACCCTTAACACACTTCACTCACTCTGGCTCTATGTGCAACTCTTCAGGAAAAGCTTTAGGAATTAAGTTAAAATATGAATTAGACTTCAAGAAGGTTTGAAACAGATATTGGATTTATTGGTCAGCTATGAGTAGGAAAATACATTGGTAAAGAAAAAGAAGACCCTGTATATAAATATAATACTAACTAGTTAAAATTTGACCAAGAAGGAAGTTCCACTGAAGAGAACAGTAAAAGCCCTTGTTTACCATCAGACCATATTCAGTTTCCCATTTATCTTATTGAAGAGCTGCCTATAGACAAATGCAACATTCTTTGAGCTTAGTGCAGATAATGTGCTGGTTTTTGTTACATGAATGGTAAACAAGAGTTAGTCCAGTGCATTACACATTATACAGAAGTACTGTGAATAAAGACTAAGATATTCTATTTTAGACACTACTTAAACATACCAAGACACTTAAGTGTTACAAATTTATGCAACCAAAAGAAAAGAATAGCAGTTAACATACTAAAAAATACTGTGTCCGTCTGGATGAAAAAGGCTTGCTACTTAAGCGGTTAACTGAATTTTTTAAAGTTTTACAGTGTAATTAGGCCCCGCCCCCCCCCCCAATAGTGTTGTAATTATTTTGTCTTTCATACACGTTTTGTGTGGTTGAAAAAGCAAACCATAAGCTATTTTCTAAGTCCGCTCTGAAAAAAAAAACAACTTGAGAGATTTGCCAGTTACATCAAAGATGCATACATGCAATGTCCTTAAAGTCAGTTTTGTCAAATGCTAGCCAATTTACCTTTTTTATTTTTTTTCAAAGCTGCTAAAAGGACAAAATAATTACAACACACACCAACTTATATGCTCTTCCCCTCCCACCTTGTGTTATGTTAAAAGCAGTAACTTGTGGTATTAGTCTTGTACTCCCATCAATTCTTTTAGTTAAAGGTATATTTCAATTTACACTTTGACACCCAGAATTCTTGGTAAAGGTAAATAAAACTAGACAAGATATGGCTGACTGTACTTTAAGTGGAAAAAAGCCTGGTCTAACCTAAATAAATCCTTTCAACCCCAAGGATGTTCTGTGACTTTCGCTGTATGTGCTTTTACAACAAGAACACTGAAGGTACATTATGGCAACACCCAAAACCACCTCGAATAAAAATATTGCAAATAACCATTTTATGTTAAAAACTATGAAGCAAACATTTTGATTTTGTGAAGACACAGTTTATTGCCTTATTCTATGTTATAGCTGGAAATTGAGACTTTTGAGTTAGGTTTGTTTGACACAAGAATATATTTTCTTCGAAAGATTGTTTGACAAAGTTTATCTCAGCTCTGTTTTGGTGCCATCTGGTCTTTCCCTATATTCAAAATATTTCTCCTTCCTTCAGCCCCCGAGTCATAGCTGCAGTCCTGTTAAAACCCAGTGAAGTCAAAGGAGTGTCTTCAATGTATTCAGTGGGTTTTCGATTGGGACCTGGTGGACTAGTATAAAAGCTGGAGGAAACGGTCATTTAAATGGACCCTTAGACTGTAAGGTGACTAAGCAGGAACAGTTGTGTCTCCAAAAGCACAAGGGGCCATATTTTAATGTGCTGTCATAAATTCAAATATTTTTTAAGACTAAGCAATACAGGAGAACACATACTGGATAAAGCTTAAACCTTTAGAATCTAACAAGTGCACTCAAGCTCCAGCATCTATTAAAGTAAATTATCCCCCTCTAAGAAATACAAAATGAGTAAGTGCTTCCCTTCCCCTTCTGTAAAGCTTTCTGGACTCATTACACAATCCAGATAATCAGAAAAGAAAAATAGTTTGCTCAGTTTGACAAGCTAAATTGGCTCATCATCACTGGAAATTGTCATGATGTACATTACCAAGACATCATTAAGGAAACATGAGTAAAACACCTTTTATTCACACTTTACAAAAAAACCCCAAAAAACAAACAGAAAAAAAATAACACTACGCATTAAGTCTACTACAGCAATACTACCAGCATTTCAATGTACTGATTATAAACTGGACATGTTTGGTGTTTCCACAACTAAAACCAAAACAAAACAACCCCAAGAGATCAGGTCCCAGACAAGGATTCAAGATCAAAATTTCTCCTATTGAAATTTTAAAATGTACATTTTACATATCCGAACTGTTTGTAATTTTTACTTTCAGCTTAAAACAGAACGGTTTGAGCACATTTATGTGCTGACTACTTTTCAATAAAATTTTGAATCATTATTACCAATCCACTCTCTTATATATAAAAATTAACAAATATTTAGAAAGTTTTCTCTTAATGCTCAGTGTCCTTTTGCTTCCCTGCCCGCAGCTGAAACAAAAGCTGTTTAAGACCAAGCTCTCTATCTCAATTTTTATTTTTACATTGATTATTCAAGTTGTATTAGTTTAAGGAGACAATAAATTCTCCCTTTCAGGATACAAATAGACAAGTTAAATTTGTAAGCTGTTATATACTTGGCTTCATGACACAAATGGCACTGAGGGTACACTATAACTTTAGTCTTGCTTGACACTTTAAAATAAGACTTGGTTGGTCACTTTAAAAAAAAAAATGATCTGAAGAATTGTCTTTGGGACCTGTATTGAAAATGCATTTATTTTACACTGCTTCATCAATAGAAAACATAGGGTTGGGGTTTTTTTCTTCAAGGAATTATACTTTCTGAAACTGAGGAACACACTTAAACGAAAGAGAATTCACATGATAGTAATTCTTAGTGGGAAAAACGGCACTGTGCAATGACACTGAAAGAAGCAGTGCATGGGTATTAGAAGCTAGAAACTGTGTACCCATAACCTGAACATGTTCAAAAAGTGTGATATTCAATGCTTCACAAAGGAAAAAAAGATGCCACAGCTTATACAAAAGTATCTTCATAAAATTTTCACAAGTGTTAACATTATTTAAAAAAATAAAAGAGGATGCACAGGATCTCTCTGCATGCACAGGCAGTGCTAGTTGAGAACAAATTTAAGCAGGCACAGTGGAGATAGGACAAGTATTTAAAACAGAAATGAAGAAGCTGTACACAAGTATCCCTAAATTTTACTTCAAAAGTTAGAGATGAGAAAAATATCTGACTGTATACACATCAGCAATAACTTTCAATCCATACAGGTCTACTTATATTCACTGCTTAGCTTATCTGTTCTGCGAGAACTCTATGCTTTTCTCTTTTTTTTTTAAAAAATCAGAAATAGACAGAATGTATTCAGTTATCTCTGTAAGATATTAAGATTTTATAAGTTTGGATTTTAAAAGCAACGTTCTCAATTGAACATAAAAAGTAGTACAAAAGGGCTAACGAAACCCTAACAGTGCAAATCATTAGCAGAGAAAACCTGTGACAACCTCTTTTACAAGCTGGCCTTTATAACACATGAAAACAGATAAAAATTTAGCCTTAGTTTACAATACAATCATTTTCCAAATCTGATTTTTTCTTTTTTTAAAGTACAAAATCTCATAAATCAGGTTTTCTGTTGTTCATATACAATCAATAAAGGCTAAATTCAAATTCTATATTTTACAAACAAGTCTGAAAAAGGAGGGAGTGAAGTACGGAAGAATGTTCTGTGGATGTTCCTACTGGCCTCAAAAAAGTAGTGCTACAGATAACTGTGCAAAGAGAATATACTGTATAACAATTCCCTATTTCAAGGCATGAAAACGTCACGTTGGATAAAAGAAACAGGAAGGTTAATTGTAACATATTAAAGAAAGGTGCAAACGCACCAATCGCTGTCGAACAGTATACAAAGTATATTGGGCTCAGAATTGTGTCTGTTGATAGCACCTGGCTTTTACTATGTCTTTAGCAAATAATTAGATTTAAGATTAAGATTATTAAGAAAAAAAATCCCTGTTGGCCATACCTCACTCCTCTATATTCAGATTTTACAATTGTACAAGTTAGACTGAGGTTACCCTCTAAAATGTACTTGACTACCTCCTGCCAGGGAGATGGATTCCATTTACAGGAGGCAGGAAAGGCAGCAAAAGCTCCAGTTGTGCAAAAAGTGAGAAGTGGTCAGAAGGGATGAGTGGATGTGGACAACCACTTATATTGTTCTCTATTAACCAATGATGATCCAAAGGTCCAAGAATGCCAAGTATGTTTAGCTGAGGTTTAGAGTAGAAGATGTAGTCAATAATACCCTAAAACAACAGAAGAAATAAAATCGATTATTAGTATATATTCTTGACTCAAGTTATTCTTCCAAACAAAAGAGCTTAATATTACAAGTAAGTGAAATGCTACCGTTCCTTTTCTACAGCACATCATCAACTTAGCAGACTTCTACTTCCTATATCCCATGCGTTGCTCAATATTGATTAGGAAAACAAAAGAAAAGTCCACCCTGTATCGCTTCTGCTATGCTTTTGTGGGTTGTAATTTCCAACCTCCTACATAGCTTCAAATCATATTTATCTGATTTTTGAAGAGGACAAGAGCCATCTTTGTTTCCCCTATGCAACTGAGCACTGTGAGTTTTCCAGTAGCAACATGAATTATTTCCTTGCAGCTGGCAGCTTAAGTGCCCCTGTTGTACTATTTCGTTTAGCTTGGAGTATTAAAACACAAAATATTCCTATTTGCAGGGAAGATTAACAGCACCCCAACTCTTGCAAATCCATTACAAGTTACTAACAAGAAAAAGGAACATTTGGTTTCTAGGAGACTGAAGTGTTGGGCACTCATTTGCTGTTTTAAATATAATCTTGGTGAATTTACTGTTAGCTACCCAAACAGATTAACTTCTTTGTTAAACAATTCCATACAGCAAATCACACAGTTAAGCTTCAAAATGGAAAACTTTTTCAAAATATCAGCCAAGTCCTTACCTTGAAGTCAAATGTGTAATTTGTATAAGGCATTAGACCATTCTCATAGGCACTCTTCAACTTGAAACCATGTGTAATTCTTCCATTTGTTGTTCCATTTTTTCCATTACAGCTGAAGTTAGTAAGACTTTCATTGTATCTCAGTTCCTTAAAATCCTTGTGGTTTGTTTCCACTCCACCAGTGCTCAAGTACTCAACAACACCTATTAGGAGAGACGCATGCACACAAGAAGGTATCAACAAGCATTCAGCAAATAAGAGTGCGTGGGTACTTCCAGTCATACATGCAACTTTATGCTTTATATAAGCAAAACCTTAACATATATACAATACAATCAGCAGTAGTTCTTCTAAAATATTGCAAGACAATGTATATATATGTCAAGAGCAAATGTCACCTAGAACAAAGAGACATACTTCGATTAGAAAAACCAAGAAGGTTAATAAGGAACAGACTGGGGGTGGGGGAAGATGAAAAAATGAAGAAAGTGGAAGTAAAATGTTACAGAGGCTACATAGTCAGCTTCTTCCTCTCCTCATCTCTATGCTCAAGTCCTGGCTTTCAACGTTCTTCAGCTAAAATGTTGCAAAAAAGCCGGTTTTGTAACACTACTTCAAATAAAGATAACTTTAAAGAGGCCGCAAAGCCAAATTGACAAGATTTGTGTCTTGGAAACCTAAGACCATGCCTCAATTTCAGAATAGCTGTGTTAAGGTTCTGGAAGGTAAAAGAGGCAATTAGTTGTTCTGAAGACACAATCAGACACATGAACTGGCTATTGCAATAGCCACTAGGGATACGTGCCTTGCTGAGATCAAGAAGAATCAGATTTCCAGTACTGCTGAGCAGTAACTGCTCCTATCAACCCTAACAGATGTTAAGAGTTGCCAAGCAGAAGCCAGAAGGACAGGGGACCAGGAATGAAGATTATTATATTGAACAACTAGCAGTAAGAAGGAAGGATGGCTCTTGAGTTCAGCACTTCAGCTGGGTGCCTGAGCAAGCCAAGGCGGCAATCACTGAATCTGTTCTTTTCTTGCACTTTAAAAAGTCGCCACCAAGTAAAAAGAAAAAGTTGTATGTTAGTAAAGAGCTCTGAAGAATCCCTTTATGGCAGGAGATGTATTGTATTTTAGAAGTCCTAAAACATTTGAGCTAAAGAAAATTATTGTATGGTGGCAACTTTAAAGAGAAGAACCCATCTTCTCACACTTAAAACTAAGAAAACCCCATTATCAGCAACATACTCATGTTTCCAGTTATTTTTGGACGATATTTTCTTCATTTCCATTCCTGTATTGTAAGATAACAATGAAAATGCTTCTGAAAGACCAGACATAGCTATACTACTGCATAGGCAATAAGGTCACTCACAAAAGAAACAGCTCTATCTTTTCTTTCTTCCTTCTATTTTCTTAGCACCTTCAGAGCTTATGATACCAAACAATGTATTCTCTAAGTTGAAAACTCCTTTAAAAAAGTGAGACCTTAAAATTTAAATTGTTATACACTTGAAACAGTCTTTAAAAAAAACCACCAAAAAAGAAATAGAACTCTTACCAGAGTCTGGTAGAGAATTGAGATCTGCACACAGTACAAGTGGAATGGTTCCAAGTTCTCCCGAAACACCAGGTTTGAGACTACGAGAAGCTTTATCAATAATGTTCTTTACCTCGGACAGGAACATCATAGTCTGAACCAGCTTCACATCAGAATAATCTGGGTCCCAATGCATATGTGCATTAGCTACAAGAACTAGCTGTTTTTCCATCCCAAGATGTGGCTTTCCAGCTAAAATTTAAATTCAATTATTTACCTTACATGGTCAGCAACAGAAAACATTATTATTGAATTTTAAATAAATGTTTGAGGAGAGGAAAAAATAAAATAAAATACCAGTATAACTTGAAGAGAGTTAATACCATTCAATTTAAGAGGGTCATACAACTCCTCTTACAACTACTAAGTGTTTTAGTTGACATAAAGCACTAGGAATAATTGTGTTTCACATTCAAGACCATTAACAGACAGACTATCCTGTTACAGGTAATGCCTATGTATCTAAGAATACTGTGAATTAACATAAATAACAGATAATCCTAATTACAGGCAAATCGTGTTGTTCTAACAAATTACAACAGTTTTCCTCAGGTTGTGATAGTAAACAGGCACTGCTCGTATCTTATTAGGCAATGAGCTCTGAATTTTAAGTTATCCACATAATAAGCTACTTCTCTTGCTAGAAGTGCTTCTTAAAAGGCTTGTTTGTTAGAATCTGAATCAATAAAATTTCATTTGGATAAATACAACCCAGGTTGAGTAGGTACCCACTGCAATACTTATAAACCCAATTTACATTTCCTAAATTAAGAATGACAGGGCAGAACAAACAGGTTGTGTAAGCATGACAGTGAAGAAAATAACAAGCTAAGATGATGCAGACACGACCCAGAAACACACAACCAACACCAACTGATTCTTTGATACCTGTATATAACTGCAAGGAAAAAAAAAAAAAAAAAAAAAAAAAAAAAAACACAAAAAAACACTCAAACTCAAGTCTTTCTATTTTTTAAGCAAAAAGGTATAAGTGGGGAAAAAAAACCACCTTAATCATTTAAGCCATATGACTTTTTCCCCAAATCCTCTTTGGAAATAAATTTGTCAGAGCATACAATGTGCAAAGTTATATTTGTCTGTAGAATAGTTTCTCTGGTTTACTGTAACAAAAGGCAATTTCTTCATCTACAAAACAGAATCTATTAAAAAAATAAACTAAATGGGACTTACATGACATTTCTATCAATTCCTTTCGCAGTTCTAACAATACAGCAACTCCAATGTTATCTTTTGTCATCACCCTGTTCAGCATAGCTTCTGAACCTTCTGAGTTTGCCATAGCTAGTTGATTGAACTCAACAGTATGTTTTTGAACCAAAGTAAATCTGAAAGAGAAACATCATATATTTTTTTTCAGCAGCCAGACACAAAAGGAAACGTTATAGACAATTCTCCTTTTAATTAAAGCTCAAACACATTTATGATGTGAAAATCTCAGCCAATCACATAATTTCATAAAATCCTAAACTGAAATCAAAGGATACAGTTTTCCTAGCAATTTTTGTATATTTTATACTACCTTAGTTTCAATTAAAAGATTAGAGAGAGAGAGAATGCTTGAGAAACTATAGAAAAGGAATGCTTGTTTCTAATTCTGCACCAGTTTCTAGTTCAAAGATGGAGGTTTAATAGAGAGGGACTAAATAATTTTTCTAAGCCAAAAGGTATCAAACCTGGCACCTACATTTACTTGTGGACACAAAGGAATGGAAACAGGAGGAGGAAGGGAATTTATCGCCCTTATATCCAAACAGTTGTACAAGTACAATGTGACACAATGAGTAAGTGCTGCAGCTCTTAAATAATGGCTTTTTTCAGAAGCAAGCAGTGATATTGTGCCTTGTCTTTTGCTTTATCAGAAGGCTAATGTATCAAAAAGTCAATGTCATCTGAGGTCTTATTTCTGCAATTTTGGGGATTATCAATTCCTTTACTCAAAAAAGAAAAAAGCTAGAAAAGACACTTACTTCATTTTTTCATTATTAACACCTAATGGTTGGTACACACCCGCTCAACAACTGAAGTATAATTTAGTGAACTCCTAACCTTCATTGCTCTAACAGAATGAAATTTCATCTTAAATAAAACTTCAAGGTAAAATTTTCTATTGCTAGTTACACACAGAATGATTTCTCTCTTACAGACCACTCTTTCTAGCAATAGGAATCCTCTATAAGAAACACTGAATGGCTACAAAAAGGGCGACTAATGCCAAACTGTTGGAGCTATAGACTGACCTGAGAAATTATGTGAAAGAGAGCAAGGCACAATAGAAGGCTCTGCAAAACACATCACTTACTTTTCTGTTTTGAAAAATATTGCACAACCATCAACATGTTTTCTTTCCTGTTCTGACATTGTCCTAGCTCTAGACTTTGGACTGAAGAATCCATTGTAGCCACGTTCTTTCAATTCTACCAGGAAAAAACTGTAGTACTGTTCCGTTTCAACCTCCTATAAAGTTGTAAGACAGCACAGCATGAATGTACTATTACCAAAATACAGAAGACTGATATTATTTAGACTCTTCAGAAGTGTAAATCACTTTCAAATTAGATTTATGGGGAAAAAAATTCTAAGAATTAAGTACATCAGAGAATGCAAATTTGAGAGCAATATCCCTATTTTAAGAAAATATAAATGAATTTCTGTAATCCCCAGAGTTATGATTATCTCAAGCCTTTTATTTGAAAATGTGTCAATTATAGCCCCACATACACAGGCAGGCACAAAGACACCCCCACGTACATGGCTTTGATCAGCAGCTGCTGGTTCACATTCCAACTGTGTGGGCTGAAAAGCATTCTTTTGATGTCAAGCAACAAATAACGTTCTAAACACCACTTCTTTTTTCTTTTGTTTTCAGAAGGTTTTGAAAACAGACCGTTTACTGTAAATACACTTAATGTGTAGAAACCAGCACATGGGAATAGAAGAGGAAAAGAAATAATGGTATATCTTTTACCTGAAGACTTATGATGTCAGCATTGCAGCTCAGGATTTCCTGCATAATGGCTTTTTTTCTGTATTCCCAGTTCAATGCCCAAGATGGACAATAGCCATACAGCTGCCGGGTAGCATATTTATCACAAAGTACGTTGTAACACATGACAGAGAACAAGGCTGCAGAACAATAATTTTACTTACACACTGATACATTTAACAACAACAACAACAACAAAATACATATACACAATTATGTTCTTCACTTTTGTCTTCTGCAAATTTATCAATTCATGCTTCATTTCCTTCAACCAAAACACAGCACATGTATCTGTACTAAAATAAAATTTGTTAGTCCTTCTAGGAAGATAAATTACAAGTTTGGACTTATGGCAGCTGTCTTCTACCATTAAATTTGAAAACAAAACCCAACCCCCCCCTTTATATGGTTAATGCAGTAAATAGCAGACAAACATACTTTATGCTACATAGTACTCTACTGCGAAAAGCCTAAAACAAGGAAAGTGTATTTGAACACTTACATTTGCTAGCTATACAAAGGTCTGCATACTCTTCTAATAGATTATTTAAAGTCTACCTTAATTACTACCACCACGAACTGTAACAGAACCACAGGCAGGGTAAGGATCCCTTCACACAATGAAAAAGTATAGACAAAATAAAACCCCAAATGTTTCCACCTCAAAAAGCTTACAATTCAGGCATAAAGACAAGAAACACCAACTCTCTGTATTAATTTGGAACAGGAGTGATAATGAGACAGTTTGGGGCTACTTGACAGGTAATCCAGCAGCATGCATTTGGGGTTTTGTTTTGTTGGGGTTTTTTTGTTTGTTTTTAAAAAGCACTAAGGAACTTGCAGTACAATGAGATACTTGGAAGCTTATTGGGAGCTCCTCTCAAACGTGGAGTACAACTCAGGAAAAAGAAACAAGACAACTGTTTGAAGATTTAGCAAATTGAGGCAACAATCTTGGCCTGATTGGGGGATCAAAGCCCAGCATTTTGAAAACAAATAGGTGACAGCAAAAGACAAGCTGCATTAACATCATGATCTCTGAAGCAACTGCCTTAATGAAATCAATAGGGGAAAGTAATGTACATCAGTCCTGAAAGAGAGGACACTGCAATAATTGAGAAATACACTAAGATTTTTGGTGTGCAGGTAAATAGAAAAGGCTATATTTTAGACAATTCATGCAGAAAAATTAGTAAACAATTAAACATGACCTGAAACCCAACAGCAAGACAAGTGCTGAGTCAAAGATGCTACATTGGTTACTTAAAAGAAAATTCTACATTTTTGGGAAATTATGCTCATGTTCTTCCATTTTCTTATTCTTCAATAAATGTTCAATTAAGCCCGTTATAATTCAACTACTTAACTAATTGTGGACAGCAGTTTCAATTCCTGCGAGGAGGATGTTAATTAAAAAGAAATTACTTTATAGTAAGAGAAGGGTAAATCTAAACCAGGTCTTCCAATTGAGGTAGAACTACTTGAGCTGGCTGGTCAGCACTGCACAGATGATTGGTTAATATAAGCATCAAAAATTTTTCAACAGATAGTAAAGATTCACAGCTTTTACAACGGGGCAGGGGGGAAAGTGTTACAGTACCTGTTGGTCTTGTACGGTCTGGTTCTTGCAACATAATCCAAGATCTTGGAGGTGGTTGTTCCGTTGAAACTATGGGAACATTTTAAAGTAGAGATACAACAAATGATAATCACATTTATTTTACACAGCAGAAATAAATGTTTTAAGAATGATCACTTACTTCTTTTTGCAGTACCTGCCAAATTATCAAGCAAGTAGTTCAGTAGCCTTCGCGTCCCGTCTGGTTCCTGATAAAGGTTCAGAATATCCTGTGTAAGTGGATTTCCTGCAAACAGATTTACAGAAATATCGAATAAAATACACAGAACCATTACGAACTTACGTATCAGTGTTTAAAGCTGGCATCTCTGAGAAAAGATACTGCATCTACTATGAACTACTTAGTGGTTTCAGATCTCAGGTCTTCAATCCCACAAAACACTAGACGTGTGAATAGCTCTCATGAAGTTAACCACATTCTCTCCCGTGTCTGCCTTCTAACAGACAGCCCAAGGGTGGTCATTGGATCTAACAGTATTGAAGAACTGGTGTGGTACAACATGCAGGCAGAGCTGATGAGGCCACACACAGGAGCCATCTCTGCTCACTTTGCTCGACGTGAGTGAAACATCCACTATCAGTTTATTTGCCAGCCATATCTTGAGTAGAGAGTCTACCATTTGCCAAACGTGTAAGAAGACTATAGAAGTTTTCACGGACAATGCACGTTGCAATTATCCAGTTTTAAGGAGGAGAAAAACAGACCTTTGAGATTTAACAGTGTTAAGAGGTATTGTATCACTCAGTGCTCCTGGTTTTATGATACAAGTTCCCCTGAGGTCAGCAGTTTTGTAGCTAGAATCCATACAGTTCAGAGAAAAAAAAACATTGGAGAGAGATTTAAATTGCTGCTTGCATAAACAGCACAGTACCCTACAGCAGTACAAAGCAAGTTCCCTTTTTGGTTGGAGTTGAATACCTACAGTTAACTGCAGACTACTACTTAGTTAAAGCAGTACTGTATTCAACTCCTGTGCAGTCAACAGCAAGCTTCCGCTCACTCTGCAGAAAGAGAAGCAAACCTCTTTATATGAGGAGTGCTTTGCCAAACTTGTTCTTTTTCCTTTTTTAAATAATCCCTCAATAACAATATTTATAAAGGCGGAGTAAGTAGCTACATCTGGGATTGCTATTCAGTAATGTTTTATGAACTAGCAGTCTACAGCCATTATATCTCAGAAGTGATATCATTAAACAAGCACGGATACCAAGAAAAAGTAGCAATACCTTTCAGACCCAAAGTCTGTAACTGGAACAGTTTTCCCAGCTCAAAAGGTAAAACTCGTAACAGGTTGTTATTTAAATGTAGTTCCCTGTAGACAGAGCAAGAATCACATAGGGCTGAAAACAGACCAACGTTTGTCTTCAGCAGTATAGTACAAGAAGTTTAACGAACAGACAAACAATATACTAGCAAACCACAATATTGAAAAACTCAAAGACTAAACAGCAATAGTTAGGGAAATCCTGCTGTACTGAAACACACACATACAGACAAAATACACATTACGTTGAAGTACAGAGGAACGTAGCTGTTTGATGAGTTCATCTTAAAAAGTCAGAAGTTTTGTAAACATTACCAATAATTACTTTAATAACTACAAGTGATGAAGCAGCAACAGCTCTGACAAACGACACCATGAAATAGTTCAGCTATGATTAAAGGTGAAATAAAGGGAAATGATATCCCAGAAAACAAATAAGCAAAAAATCCAGGATCATGGCAGTATGATTAGACCTATGACATTACCATGTAATAGTAATTTACAATAGTAATTTTCTGTTGGTTTTGGTTTTGTTGGGTTTTTTTGTGTTTGGTTGGGTTTTTTTTCATAATTTCAGTGTTAAGACAAAATATGTGCTTTTTAACTTACAAAACCAATATGCAGACAGGAACAGAATTCATGTCCTGAATTCCGATATCCTAACAAACTGGGCAGAGAAAATGGACTTGTCAGGAGCTTTTCACTTAAATGCAGTCCCACCTAAGCAGTGAAGACTTTCCTCACCATACTCAATATAAAGTTGCTACTTTAAAGTGTTTACAACTTGGAGCCTGGAGACTTGAAAAGTATTTTGGGGCAACATAAAAGGGAAAAAAAAAATTTAATATAAAACCCCACAGACAAAAGCACATATTTTAGAGAGAAACTGAGAAGCCCACTGTGTCTGTCATTGTAGGGTTTCTAAGTATGAAGGAAGCACATGACAGGTAGAAAAGAGGATGGGGGTGTTAAAAAAAAAAAAATCAACATCTCCACTAATTCTCAGCACTTCCATAGACATCTGAGATTTAAATTGCTACTATTTTTAAGGATGATATTCTATATGACATTATAAAGCTACTAGTTTATTCTTTTGGAAGCTACTTTTTCCTCTAAGAGTTTTTCAAAGCACTGCTGAAGTCTAAAAAAACGTTATGTAGAATTACAAAAAAAAAATATACTAAATTCTTCTAGAAGAAAAACACCAAGCTGGAAGAATGGCACAGTAGTAGGTATCATTACACTTTCTCTCTTGGATGAAAGAATTATTTTCTCTAATGATCCTTGACTCCGTGGAACCTGCCCCTCTATACAGCAAAGGGGATCACAGCAAATCCCACTAGTTCTTTCAAGCGTATCAAGAGTATCTGTTTTACAGCTGAGCTTTCCAAGATAACATGTTAGAGTGTTTATTTTTTCTCTTCTTTCCACAAAGATCAGAAATCTTACTGCTTTGATACCTCTTTCTTCAAGTACCTGCAGTAAAAAGGGAGATGCAAGGAGCCTTCGGTGAGCTTTGCTGTACAGACCAAACCCAGAGCTCCAGACGTGGGAGCTGGAAGACCTGTTATCAGTTCTCAAGTGGGAGAGCACAAATGATTTCTCTGGCTCAGGATATCAGCAATGCCCAGTGTTGAATCACTGTTTGTTTGAACAACTTCCCAGAAGCTGCTGAGCAGTATCACACAGGATGCACTTATGGGTTTTTCTTCACTTTCACCCCAGTGAAAAGAAATCATGGATCAGCTGCAATTACTGAGGACAGAGAGAGTGCAGTGGATTAACGCACTAGCTTTTCACATCTAGAGATCTGGATTCAAGTGTTATCAGGAGAGACTTGGGACTTGGAAGAGCTGAAGCTTCATAGAATCAGCCAGAATAAACTGGGAAAAGTGTTGGGAAGAAGGCATAAGGTCTTTTGACACTACTGATGACTATACACTGCTAAGCTAACTCCACGCCATGAGTATTACATTTACAACAATATTTTAAAAGGAAAAAGACTGATAAAAATAAAAGGTTGCTAATGAAGTACAAAGATGAATTTGAGAATATTCCAGTAAATTTAAGGTTGCTACCTCAAAATACCCAAGGAGTGAATAAAGGAGGGAAGAAACCTGTTAATAGTAACTGCTTTTAATTAAAATAGTAATGCAAAGCTTTCTTGAGAACAGACTACTTCACAGCTGAAAACAACTATACAACACACTGCAAAACAGAACTGCCAATTATGCTCTAAAAAGCAAGGTCCCTTTGCTCAGCCTCCAAGGTTGAGACTTTAACTCCTTTGGAATTTGAGTTTTTAGTACCAATTTGATCAGCTAGTTGAATCCTCCCCAACAGAGAGGAATTTTCTAAAGTAGAAGAAAATGCAATGACTGATACTTCTATGTGCAGACTTGCTTTGCTTCCAGTTTCATTAGAACTGTGCTGGCAGTCCATTTCTCTATTGTCTTCTTCTTTACTTCTAATAACATTCTAGTTACTTCTAGACTCAGTTTTTTCTGGATTTGAGAAAGCTGTCCATAAATGTCTTCAAAATTAAAAGCAATGAAGGCAATTACCAGTAACTGTCCAATAAACCTAAGATAAGGCTCTTCCTTTGGGTCAAGGACAAAAGAATGTTGCCTGTAAATATCTACTCTTATATAAGTAATTTATACATTTACATAAAAGTGTTTTTACAAAGTGAAATGCTGCAGCCTTAATTATAATCTAAATAGGCATCACTATTCATGCTTCACTTCCATAAGGCGGTATCATTCCAGGTAAACTTTGCTCATCTTGGCACTGTAAAATTAAGGGGAAAAAACCCATGCGTTCAGAACATTTTTTTTCCCTCCTCCCAGTTTGCACAGGAATGCAGTTACATGATAGCAAAGGTGGGAAGGAGATGATATTAGACAAGTTGCAGTTGTTATAAAATAAACAGAATAAGAACTATTGCTAAGAATAATTACTAAAGATGAGTAAAGAGAAAAAAACCTGTAGTTAGCATGATTATGAATGTTTAATCTGACCTTTTTCCTACCTTACTATGAGTTCAAAGCAATTTTTTTTGTGCATCAGTATTTCTTAGAGAAAAACGCCACATAAAGATTTGTAAAAGAGTCTGGAAAGAGATGCATAAGAGAGGAAACCTGACTTGGATAAAATGGGTGACTGCCATCAAACTAAGCACTTCTGAAGCTCACTCCATACTGTCATACATCGGAACAGGAGATCACAGAAAAGCCAGCATTGCTACAGCTGCACAGACCATACCAAGTATTCAGGGAGACAGATTAAAAGAAGTGAGGAAGGGGGGAATTTATTCATGCTTTTCATTTACTAGAATGTAAAAATTACACTGAAATTTAAACTGTTGCTACAAAGATAATCAGAGAACAATTTTAACTCCTGTTAAAATTTACATACCTGAGTGACACCATGTTTCCGAGCTCTGCTGGTAAACTGCGAATTTTATTAGAGGACAGGTCCAGATATACCAGATTGTGAAGCTTGGCAATGTCTGAAGGAATACGGGATAAGGAATTGTCACTGAGATGCAAAGCTGTCAAATGGGTCAGAGTCCACAATGACGAACTTAAGCTTCTCACTTTCCCTGTAGAAGGAAGGTACAAAAGAAAATAGAACATTTAAAATATATAGGTTTAGCAATAATCACACATTTTCTAAGTACGTATGGGGCGGGGAGTGGAGGGGCTTGAGGGGGAGTTTTGTTTGGGTTGCGTTTTTCATCATTATTATTATTTCATTCAATGAAAATTCCATTAATCACCGATTCCATAGACCAAAAAAATTCAGCAATACGTAAGAGAATATAAGGCGTTGCCAGGGATGCTTAGATTGTTTTTTTCCAATCCATACTTAAGGTTTAAACATCTGTCTTTCTCAAGTTCCATACAAAACAAGACTTATTTACAAACTGACCATGAATTCAATAATTAACAGAGGTGTAAGGAACAGATTTTTTCAATAATAGTTTATGTTTGAGATGAAAAATGCTTCTTCAGTTTGCCCCTTATTCCTGCACAACATCTTTCAAACCAAAAATCTTTACTCTATGGCATTAATCCAGCCAAGAACAGATAGAAGCACTATATTTAGGGTGACTAAGATGCTTAGTTGAGAACATGGATTTCCATCTGGCATTCAACTAAAAGCTGCATAAACTATTGCCAGATATTTTAAAAAACGGTATGATTTTTGTATAAACTGAGGGGTGGAAACATGGATTTGTGTGACAGAATCAAGGTTTTTACACTGCTACATGCAAGGAATGTGAGATATCATCAGAAGGTCTCAAAACATTTCTTCTCTCCAAGATTTTTTTTTTCCCCCAGGAGTGGATTCGTTTTCATTTACGGAAGTCATCTTGCTGTACCAAAAGCATTAGAAGGAGTACCAACGCCAGTTTGTCCAAGGCAAAAACAGTTACTCGCAACAGCCTTTAAAATCCCCACCATGACTCACCAATATTAAGAACGGTCTGGTTAATATTATACCAACATACATGCTTTATAATTCATTTCCTTAAATGATTTTCTTCAAAGTAAAAGAAGGCATATTTAGTGCCTGGGGAAAGCTACACTGATACACTGGGACTCAGCCCATGGTAACAAAAGGTTTAATATAGGTATCATTTCCAGTGAGCTATAAGAAAGTGAGTGGCATTAAAAAGCCTGCAGTGAAAAAGCTCAGTGATTTAAATGAGAGCAGTTAAAACATTTGTGGCTTTCTGTATTAGATGACCAAGTATTTTGCAAGGAAATGGCAGTGTGAACATTAATAAAACAAAAACATTGTCACATTTTATTTTGCAAGGCAAATGCATACAGTTCTTAAAGGATTCATGCTACTGTAGTGCTCATTGAGAAATCTTTTGAAAGGTTTTAAATACAAATCAGTTGTTCTTTGCATTGTTTAAATTGAATTAACACCTCTTCCCCCTCACCAATGCAAACAGGTGACTGTGATCAGAGAAACCCTTGTAGCTGAAAGGATTTCCAATCAACATCACTGATCCATCCTCTTCACTACCTGCACCTCTCTTGGCTAGCATCAGTCTATAGCAAAATTACCAGGCATGAAAGGAAAGAGCCATCACTTAATGCATTTCCTATGCAGAGGCAGTAGATGTCCCAGTGGATATCCAAGCCTAATGCTGATTCCTGAAGCGGCAATTAACTAGGTTTCTGCACCTGTAACCTTCAAGTAAAGAGTGCTATTCACATGTTAAGGCACATGGCACTCGAAGCAAGACACAGATTCAATGATCTGCCTGAAAAGACTCTTCACAATTCAAAGAACTCTGTTTGTATTTGTCCTTCCATCAATTTCTCTACTAGACAGTCATTTAGAAATAACACATGGCAATTTTTGCAGTCTCTTAAAGAACCTGCATATTTAAGCAAAATTTCAGCCTAAATTTACATCACAAAATAATTTTTAAATTCTTAAAATATTTGCTTGAATTTCCTTGTAAACACACTTTATGTAGCAAAATTGGAATTTACTCTACAAATCAAGAGAGACTGGTGTCCCACACAAGTTGGAATTCATGTTTATGAGTTCCGAGTGTTATCTTATTTTCAAGACAAGACTCAAAAGTCAAACAGCAGCTCAAAGCTAGCACAGTTCTTGGAGGTTTCTTTAATCTTTTTTTTTCCCTTTTTTTTGTTAAATGTCAGGAACAGAGCAAAGATTTACAACTGCTTTTAAAATGAAAACTACGTCTATGTTATCAACCCCAACTTCACCCACTTCTCTTTGACAAGTTAGATCTTAAATCCATGCTCTCACCTACCCCCATCTTCTTAAAACACAAAGAGCTCACATCCATATCCTCATCTTCCCAACTCTCCTACACATTAGGATTCCCCACCTGCCTCAACTTACCTACAGCTCCCTACGTTATCCCAACCCAACCTCTTCCCTCAACACACCCAGAGCCTGGCAGCTGCTACGTTGGTGTGCTGGCTCACTTCAGGGTAGGTAACTCCACTCCAGACTTCTTGTCCAAGCCTGTATGTACTACATAGGATACTCTTAACTTGCAATGAGTTCATAACTCAGGACTGTTCCTCAGTCTCTTACCACTTATTTCCAACTCTGCCCAGTGTGATTTCTTTCCGTTGGCTGCTTCCTCTGAGGACATAATTGTGTACATCCTCCGTGGATCAGGTGGATCGTACTTTTCCTTGGGCATTCCTGTTGAGACAAAAAGACAAATAATTAAGATACTACATAATGAGACTTCTTTAAAAGGTAATTTCCATTTCAGTTAAATTTTATATTGGACATTCACTCCAAATACTTTTCAAAACTTCAGATAAAGATAACCCATGCCCATTTACAAACTTCACTGAGTGGGAAAGACTGCTATAAAACAGAAGAACACAGATTCCTGATGCTCCTAGAATGGCAGACAACAGCCTAAACCCCCACGCAATTATTTAACAAAATCTGTAAAGCAACATAAACATTGTGTCCTGCCACCTTTCATGGGTATATCACTGTGTCCTTCAAAATCAATCCATCCTACTGCAGGCTCTTGGTTCTTCAACAATGAAACTTCAAGAGGTGATGATCACCACCACCAGATTCTCCCTCATACAAACTATGCAGAAAACATTTGCTAATAACCTCGACTATCTATCAGTTCCAGGTTTACTGCAATTCTCAACTTTTCACACAATTCAGCATCCAAGAAAAGAATTAAGGTTTCAAAAAGATCCTCAATTCTTTAAGTCTGCAAAGTGATAGCTTTTGATTCAACCCTTATCTTACTCTTGTCAACCTGAAAATATTCTACCTGAGGTAGACCTTTCTGTCACTTTCTTCAGCCAGGTGTTTAACACTGAAATTTAACTCCATTTCTCTCACTCTCTTTCACATGATTCCTGGTAACTTTACAAAAAACATTTTTTAATTTCTGATCTCTTTTTACCACACCAAACCATGGACCGTGAGAGAAGTAGCAAAAATATGTCTCTAAAAAAAACCTCCTCCTTCCAGCTTTCCTGTACATTAACATACTCGCACAGTTTCACTGCAAAGATGGGGAGGGGAAAGGCATTCCTGGCTCCATAATAAAACCCTGTACCATACTCCTCCCTGCACCATGAGCTAGCTCTCCTCTGTCCCAGGAGAAATACAGCTGGGTTTTAGGCAGTTTAAGAGGAAAACCAGCTTACATAGATGTTAACTAACTAAATAAATAAATATAAATATTATATTAATTTACAAATTAGTTCCGTGTTTCCAAGTTTCATAGGACTTCCAATATAAATCGTGTTTATCAGAAGTAAGAGTCATGCCTTTGCGTTACCCTACATATATCTAAGAGCTTTTATGGCAAAGATTTCACCATCTTAAGCTGCCACATGCAAATACATACAGAAAGGCACAAGCAACAAGCTATAAAATTATTTATATGACATAGAGAAATTAAACAATACTGGCTCAAATCACATTTACAAACACATTACAAGCAATATTATGCAATTATTAAGCAAAATACATTACAGAAATATTATAGTACCACCCAAAACCACTCAATAAAGAAGCAGCTATACTGGTCAAAATCATGAGCACACCTACCTACCAGATCTTTTAAGGCTTTCTAATTTTTTCATATCCCTGGACAAAGTGAATATATCAGAAAAGTGTTGTATAGAGAATAAACAAGGAGTAACTGTTAGTAAATTGAGACTATCAACCTTGTTATCTGTTTATTGAATTTACTGGAAAATGTTTACTCTGCATGTTAAAAAAACCAACATAACACCCCACACCCAAAACCTTTCTGTTAATTATGCATCTTAATTAAAATAAAGCTTTTAAGCACCACATGCTTACTTTAATACAACAGCTCTTTTACTAATTCACACTCCTTCCCTTTCCCACCCCCACTACTGGTCAAAAACAGATGTCTGCAGTGAAAAGAAATTCCCCTTTAAAAAGTGAATTGTGGGTAAAAGGATGAGATTATAAATAGCAGCTGGGTGGAGCTTCTTAAAGAATGAAGACACTTGAGTACCCAGGGTACTAGAATCACCAAGTGTAACACTTTCTTCTTCAAACTAAGCTAATTAAAGGAGATAAGACTGGATTATAACCACTGGAAAGGTAAAAGCGTAACTTCTCCCTGCAATAACTATGCAACTAATGCAATAACATATGGCAAAGTAATGTATTGAGCATCTCTTCTGAAATTGCTATATGTAATTATATATAACTGACAAAGACCAATACCACATAGGAATGCTCCAGTTTGACAGGAAACATTTACCTTCCTCGGTCATTTGATGCTTTCTCTTCCTGCAGCTCCCCGAATTAATAAATATGTTCCAATTTTTCAAGAAGTGAATCGGGTATACTAGAGACAGAAATCTCATTCAGTACAGAAACACGAACGTTCCCCAGAGCACACTCAATCACATGCACTAATTAACAGCCTTGCTGGTACCAGCAGCATCTCGCTCCTCGCTACCAGAAGAGGATGACATACTTTTCCAGTGGGTTTTGTTAATGTGCACTAAAACAATTAGAGATTTAAGAATTTGAGGTTTTAACACTGGATCCTGGTGACCCCATGCTCCCGGCCCATCCATGGCACTTACTCTCCCTCTCATTAAAGTTCCTGCTCTTGATGGTTTTCCTTTCTTACTGCTGCATTTCACAGTGGACAATTCCCTGCTGTTCAGGATTACCAGGAGCAAAAAAAGCAGCAAATGCTCAAGAGCCTCCTGGCTGAAGGAGCTGCTGATGACCGACAGCATCACTGGCATCAGCCACACCAGAACACCAAGGATACTGTCACACCAAGTGTTAGCGCATCTTCATCCATCACGTAGAGCTCGAGATTTCTCAGGATCTGACAGCAAGGCTACATTTGGGTCATATTTCACAGGACATAAAACACAAGCGCAATACCTTGAATTGCATTTCAAAACTTCACAGCACGGAGTAGTTCAAGAAAATCAGTCTCTTTTACAAATCACTGTCTCTCCTCCTTTCTCCACCTCCCCAAATCCAAATTTAGAGCCTGCTGAGCTGCTGCAGTTAAACGTAAAAGCTGAGGTAAACATCAGATTAAGTGGTACAGTTTTGTCAGACTAAAGCAATTTTTAGTAAGACCCATAAAATGCTGTCAAGCAACCTTGGAGCCATTGATAACTGCAGCTTTAAACTATCATGACGATCATTTTCAAAAGAGCTTACACCACCTGCAATTTTCAGTTGCACCAACACAGATGGTGGGAAGCACCGCTGAAGATCAGGCTGTTATCACGTAGAGCAAGTTAGTTCATAAAGGAGAAAATCTTCATGAACGAAGATATGACAGGGATGCCCAGAACACACCCCAGACTACACAAATTTAATGAGGAGGACATTTAAATATGTTTGAATGCAAATTAAATTGTTTACTATCTTGTACCATGTTATTAAAGCTGTTATTTAATTAGTTGTAAAAACAGAAGGGCTTGAGAGCTCAAGAGGAGCGTGGCCATTCCCACCCTGGGTCACTCAGTCCCAACGCAGAATTAACAACCCTTACCCCAAAGAAACTGAGCTAAACAAGGCCAATGAGGTCAACAGTGCAAAGGGTCTGACGTAGGGAATCGGGTCTCGAGCCTTCAGCGCAGACACGGTTTTAAGCCCTTGTTTGCCCAGAGGGTACCGAGAGAAAGGCGGTAGGACAGGGCAAGGGAGAGCAGGGGCAAAGACCCTTCAGGGAAAGGTGCAGGGCAAGGATGTTGAGGATCAGGAAGAGAAGAGGAAAAAATCTGAAGGTTGTAAAGTCAAGGGAGGGCAAGCTGTTAGAAGAAGAGCTGACAAAGCTGGCTAACACAGCAGGTGGATGACGGAGCACTGGCTCCGGCTTCCCTGGGGAACAGACCATTAGAGACAAAGCCAAACGTTCACAGGTTGAGGTGCACCTGCACCGATTGCCGGCTGTCTCTCCAGATTAAAGCAATGAGTGCACTAAGGTGATGAACAGCCAGGCTAGGTCTTGTTTCGGAGAACTGTTCTGGACAAGACGGGGTGTGATTACCAGCAGCCATGCGAGCTGGTGTGCTGCACTGGGGACCAGCCGCAGCACCAGTGCCGTTCAGGGTACGGTGTCAGGAGGAGCTGGTGGCCTCGAAAAGAAGGAGATGCCTGAAAGCCAAGCCGGTTTAGCTACACTGCTAGCTGTAGAAGAATGAAAAGAGTTCAGACCGTTGCCTGACAAGGCTTTTGAAATGGTAAGTCTCCTAGGCTATAGGTGTGTGTAAGGTGGAAGCTGGACTATGAGGTAGTTAATGCTCTAGGTGACTATATAAACTACTAATAAATAATGCCTCTAAAATGGAGAAAAGGTAGTCTGGGGAAACTGCTTTGAGTGACAGGGCAGGGAAGATGGTGACTTTTTTCCTGTCCTTCCCTTCTGCCATTTTTATAAAATTGAAGATGATGGGGAGAAGGATTTAATCAAAATAGGTAGGTGAGCAGGGGGTTTTTTTGAGAGTAAGTAGTAAGTTGTTTTTGGGAAAAAAACCCAACAAAACCATACACCCCACACAATGGAAAATACTACAGCAGCTCTTCATTTCTTGAAATGCTTTCTCTAATACCTCAGATAAACTAACTCCATCTCAAATCTGTACTGTACTGTATCTTACTGTAAGCGTAGATATCAAGTTTGCCCCAAAACTTTCCTAGAAACATCAGCTTCTTCCATATCAAAATTTAAATTAGGCAAAGAAAACGTGAATTCTAAAACTTTGTAGAAAACAAGGAACAAGTGAGAGCAGCATGGGTTAGTGTTCAGACAAAACTTTATCTGATCTAATCAACTATTCTGAAATAACTATTTCAATACTTACTAAGCAGCATCTACAAATCCCATTTACAAATATGTGAGTACCTTTAGAAATACCTCAAGATCCGCTATGCTGAAGCATTGCAACTCTGCTTCTGAAACATCTTGACACATGCTGATGACTTCTTTTGACTTCCCCCACCCTGCTCCTTACTTGATATTACTTATCACTAAAACTGACGTAAATCAGAAAATAGCCAGGAGGGGGAAGTAAACAAAGTAGCACCACACCTGATCAACTGCAGAATTACTCCAACTTCTTGCTACTTTAATTAAAAAACAGTGAATAAACTATACAAATCTAGATCTAATAAAGTTAGAAGTAACAAGATAACTGAAG